CAGCAAAGCCGGATATAGCATCAAAACACTGTGAACGGTCAGTATAGCGCTCTTGGTTAAATGCCCTCTCATTATGATTGATTTATCTAATGCATCTACAAGATAAGTTGTGAAACTGAATGTGTATACCTAAGCCTATTCCCTTGAGAGGTAGGATTACTTTAAAGCAGTATACTCTCGTAATATACGGTATACATAAGAAGCAATCTCTAGTTAACCTTCGACTGGACTGAATGCCAGGAAACAGGAACAAGACATCAATAGTGAGCCCGCACGGTATGGACGCTTCAGTGCCCTGCTACCAACAGCAGTCTCGCGACGGCTGGGTGCACCGCGGGGTCGTTCTCAACCACGTGAATTCGTACGGGCAACGCCAAGAGTACAACGCAGATGGGCAATCCTTTCTGCCCCCGGCGTGTGACGTCGGTCCAAAGAAACAAATAAAAATAACTTTTTCTAAAGAAAATAGTGACTGGCTATGTTTGTAATCGAACTTGCATTTTTGGTGCTTGAGTAGAATACTTGTTGAATAATAGACCATAAGCCAACGAACGGAACTTCGGCCAGTGGCGCACACTGCAACTACGCGTTGTAGTAGTAGCTAAAGGCACACTGAACGTAAAAGCGTTCTCGAGTGAGATAAGTTATTATGAAACGGGCGCTTAGCTAGACACGTTATTCACAACAGTGAACTAATTTCGCGAAACAAAAGTACGTGGTGGTAAAATGGTTAGTAAACATGGTACAGTGCGGCGCGAGAAAATAGAATTCCCACATCATCGTTTAGTAGATGAGGATGGTCGATTAGAACCTAGAAAAAACCGACACGTGCATAAAATGCCTAACGACAGGGAAAATCGACAGTATACTCCAGAAACGATCCATTGCATCTATAAGCTTTTGAAAACATAAGAACAACCTGTGGAACATGTGACGGTCATGCTGAATTACTAATTGTGTGGCTGGATTGCGACACCCAACCTCAATCAGGACTGCGATTCACTTTGGAGTGGATCTCATTAAATTTGGCCAGCAAGACAACGACTGGGTAGTTTAAAGTTATAGACCTTAGCTTATCTCGAAACATTCTGTTTTCAAGTGATTACGCAAGCTTTGTTTGGCGAGTGCATGTGATTAAGAAATTTGTTGTGGATGGCAGTGCTGAGAACTGAGTACACCTAAGGTGTAGACCCTTTGAAAGAGGCTAAACAAAGTATTCGGAGAACAGTGCAGCCAATGAATGGGAATGTATTTAGAGCAACACATTGCTGATTAGCGGGAAGAAAGGAAGATATCGCGTCACAATATTTGAAGGCTTTGAAGGTCAGCGGCATGATGACTACCATTCTATAGGCTCATCCAGGCGATGCTGAAAAGTCTAAGTTATCTCAACGTTAGGAGCAATATTACAAAGGGCAAAGTCATTGCAATTAAGAGAGACGAGTAATAAAAGCTGCGGTTACTAATATAATGAAAGAATAAACTTGAGTGAATAGGTCATTGAAAACCGTCGATATCAACATGGACATAAAAGCCATCTAACCCTAGACTGCGTGATGTAAACGCGATTTGTAAAATAGGTGCTGGTGTACCTGCGTACACTTGAGTAGACCAAATTTTCAGACGACGAATTTTGTAGCATTTACCTAGCAAATTGTCGAGTGTTTGAATGATAAAGGATTAAGGTTAACTGACAGAATCCATCATTGCTTCTAATGGATACGCCGCTAGAAGCTGAATTATGGTGGCTACCCACGTATCCATCAAGTTTGAAGCAGTGCTGGACTGCTAGGATAATGATGTTTATAAAAATCACGCGTACCAAATGGCGGCATGTTTGAATGTTACCTACCAATACAAGTAGCAAAATATCTACACAATATAAAGTCCAAAGTTGAAATATCGATTAGGAGGTGACAATACTTCACAACTACTTCAAGCTTTGAGTGCGCTTCAGGCCACTTAGTGTGTTATCTGTAACGTATACAAATATCTAGCCTCAATAATTTCCCTGAGCTGCTAGTTCCCAAACCCTTCAATCAAAGGTGTTCCCAAAAACTAAGGGATTTCATTAAAGCATAAGTTATGATATAGATGTTTGCACCTACCATAGTTTATAAGAACTATCTAAGATCAATCTATAAATAGTTAATGCGCAGGGTACTGATATTTTTGAAATCCACCGTTAGTATAGGGTTCGTTTTCGGTTTATTTCTAATTACTTTTCATTGTATAGAGGCACTTTGATCAAACGTCATCGTAGAACATGTGGCGAGAATAAGTTTTATGATGGATTTCAAGTAACCTTTAAAAAGTGTCTTATATCTATGGTGGTTTGACCTATTTTACGATAGCAAATTACATTTGTGAAGGCACAGTAACCGTTTACCGATAATCTGGAAACCGCAGCGAAGTTAAAAAAATTTTAAGAGTAATTTTAGATTCATCTAGTTAGAACGTTTATCGGGTATTTTATCTTCGACGATGGAAAATCACTTCCAGACTTAGTTACGCAGGTTGTGGGAGGCACAGCGCGAGGCGTCCATTTCATGATGGAAGTCAAAACGTTTGTTTACTATAATATTTCGGAACGTCACATTGGGTCAACAACCTTCTGGATTAGTTATGCTGCACAGTCCAAGAATAAGTAGCAAGCGATTTAGTCTTCTCGCATTATGAGCCATGAGCCACGTGAAAACAAGTGCATAATTTTATACAGTCTAGCCAAGGTGACATTCAGTTACACGGAGTAAACATTTGGATCGAAGATACCCTTTTAGGTGTAGTGCAGGGAAAATAACTCTCAGTCGATTCGCCGGCAATTCCTCTCTTCATGTCAGCTTCGCACCCGAACCCAGTAGAGCTGCAATGAACGTATAAGATTAGCGCCCACGAATAATTCATATTCCAAACTTGGGCAGATATATATTGAGTCTGTCTAACTTGCAAATGGTTCGGTGCCTTCTGATATCTGCAGGATTAACTACCAACAAGAATCTGCTGACGCAAGCATCTCACATCAACATATAAAGTCAGATAAAGTGAGGCTTTCAAGAGCGAGATTTGGGATAACACCAAGTTTATGTTTTGACTTGTTGATCAAATGGGCACTAGGAAATTCGAGACTTGTGAATAGGAAACTGAGCATGACAGTTCAACTCATTCAATGGGCAAGGACATACTGGATGAAGCCATCCAGCAGAATATGGGAGATAAAGCCTATATCTGAGTTATGACTCGGAACGACGATCTATTGACAAGTGTCCTAAATTTACAGAACGCCATAGCGCCCAAATAATTCCTAGCCAAACTGATACAATTCTTCATACCTAAAATAGTGGCTGTGTGTAAGAAGTATTTTTGGCAACGGCCCCCTTAATTAGGCCACAATGAGTGCTGTTATGTTCAGAGGCTGTCATTCACAAAGACCATCCTGCAAAAGTGTTTTGTTCAGATAATGTTGCAACTCAGCCAAACTGAATGCTATCGTAGGATTGACAGAAAATCGCGTCTGAAAATTTAATAACCAGCACAAGCATGGAAAATAACGCAGTTAACTTGGGGGCGAGACAGCAGGATAAAGGAAATCTCAGTTTGTGGTTAGCACCGAACAGATTCGGAGACGGAAATGTACGAATCCGATGCACATTGTCAACTAGCTATACAACAAGCTGTAGGAGAAATGCGCGACATCAGATTATTGATGAGTGTAGCCGGCCGGCAGGCGTCACCGTTACATTTTAACAGGTAAGAATCGTTCGGTTTTGCTTTCTGTTATCTTTGCCATCCTATTCCTCTCCGACACACTTCCTTTGCTTTCTTAGCTGCTTATCTTACATCGGTCTCTTACTAGGCGGTTGAGTATCCAGCCGTCTACGAGGTGTTTATTTTATGTTGTAGCTCCATGGATCTCTTACAGTCCGTCATATTAGCGGGTACGGAAGAGCTCGGAACGACAAACCGGAGGAATATTACATATTTGGCGACCCTGCCAGTTCACGACGACAGTCCACGAAGCTAGATTGTATCCCTTGAGACAATAGTTAACTTTTTGTTATCGTACGGCTTGTTGTTGAATGTCTCGTGTCTAATGTACCATGCTCAATACCTCTTGCAAGTACATAGGCTGACGCCGGTATGGGACATTATGAGGGCTGAGGACAGCTTCTGTTAAGAGAGGGGATAATGTAGCCGGTCCACTGACGTCATGGTAAAACGCCAACAGGTAAGGAATCGCTCGGTTTTTTCTTCCTGTTATCCCTACCCAGCTATTCATCTCCGACACTTTTTCTTCTCTATTCCGCGCTTCCTTAACTGCTTCCCTTACATCGGCCTCTTACTAGGCGGTTGAGTATCCAGCCGTCTACGAGGTATTTATTTTAAGTTGAAGCTCGGAACGCCGGACGGGAGGAATATTACAAGAGAACGAAACGTCATTTACTCGTCTTGAATGTTTACCTTTCTCGCATTTGAGTAGCATTTACAAATGCATGACATCTAACCGCACCTCAGTTGATTGCGAACGAACGAAGTCATTCCTCTTATTATAGTCAAGTCATGATCCTTTTAGATAATATCCATTTCAGGGACCTTCACCGCATTGAGACGCATTAAATGGGCATATTACTGCTGGTGACATTTATTGTTGGTGCGTTAGTACAACAAAATAAACCACATAAAATATTTTTGTAATGTTCAGAGAAAGGATTACCGTTGTATCTAACTTGAAAATGTTAGGTTCGTTGTCCGCCATGACAGATTAATCTCTATTTCTTTCGATCTTAAACGCTTAGGAGCACATATCTGCTTCTAAAAGCTGAATTCAACCACTAGGTCGCGGTTGCTGACAGCCAATATCGTAATTCTTATCCACAGCATATCCACACCCATCCATTAAAAATTGTTTCGATTGGCGTTATATAAACTGTCTCACTTTATTTCCAACACTTATACTCGTAAAAGTAATAATATAATGTGCGTTTCCTTAAAACCCTTTGCAGCAATAATCCTATCCTGTTCCGGATTTACCGTCAGTTTCGCCGAGCAGTGATTTGTTCTTAATCAAGTAGCTCGCTTTGGAATAAACACGGAGGCTGAATGTGTTTTATTACTACAAGTTAACAAAGCGCACAGCAAAAAGCAACGAATACTCCAAATGAGAGAGTTTATAGATTGGCATTCCGTCCCCGCTGTTTTGATTAATGCGACCCCACTTGGATCTCTACTAGACGTACCAGACATTCCTTTAACAGAATATTTTCCCAGAAATGTATATCACTACAGCACTGAGCCCACATAACTGACCAAAACTCTCATGTAAAGCCCGAGGATGTCAACACTCTTACTTTTGTTGGCATATTTTGTAAAAATAATCCAAGACGCCCTGTCCTTACAGGTTGTGTACAGTCTAAAAGATGAAACACCTGCAGATTCATTCGTTGGAAACCTGGCCGAAAGCCTACAGTATGACTACAAGGATTCCCTCGCTTTCGTTTTAATGACATCAAAGAAGTTCCGATACTTCAGCGATTTCTTTCGTGTTTCACATAACGGAGATCTGCACACACTCAGACGTATTGATCGCGACAACACAAACGAAATATGTGGGCCCCTGGCTTGTTGCCTGCTTCCAGTTTGTACTCTACAAGCCAATATTATCGCCAACGTGTTGACTGACACACACATGGGTGATAAAACTGCTATAGCAGCGGAACGGAAGAAGTGGTTTACAGGACTAACCGATAACCAGTTAGAAATCGATCTGGTTATTCGCATCAATGATGTTAACGACAACGCACCACAGTTCGAGCCATCCAGTTATGCCACAACTTTTGCCGCCGACACAACCCGTCAACAGTCCAATGTTTTTCACATATATATACGTGAAGGAGAGGCGACCAGCTCAGAAACCTTACCTATTGCGTTTGATGCAGATTCACAACCAAATGGTGTAGTGGAATATAGATTAATTCAAACAATCAACATGCTGTTTCCTGAATCACCTCCGAGCTTGAATATAAGCGTAGCTCCATCATCCGTGAGGCAACCACGAGACGAAATAAAATTGAAGATGGAAGGTGTCCCAATATTAACCCCGAAGCTGATTCAAACAAGGTCCTTAGATTTTGAGACACCCAGTGACCGTGAACTTCATGCACTGCTGCTAGCAGTAGACGGTGGCGATCCACAACTAACCGGAACTTTGTCAATTGTTGTTAACTTACTAGACATAAATGACAATTCTCCGGTTTTTGTACATCCCGATGAAGATCTTTATGTGACTGTTCCGGAAAACTCCACCCTCAAAGGAGAGTCGATTTTTGTGATAAAGGCGACTGATGCGGACTCAGGAGATAATGGTAAAGTTACGTATATGCTGAGTCCATTGGCGGGAGTAGATGTTGCTCGAAAGTTTTCCGTTGACTCCTCAACAGGCGATATACGGATCAGACACCCTCTGGATTATGAAATCTACTCAGAACGCCATTTTGTTCTACCATTAATTGCGAAAGACTCCGGAAGTCCGCAGAGGTCTTGCACAGCATCGATTTTCATCAAGGTCCAAGATGTGAATGATAATGTGCCTAGCTTGGTTGTTCAGGAAAACGTCACTGTTCCAGAAGGCGAATTTCTGACCAAACCAGTACTCAAGTTCTACATTAAGGACGAAGACGAGGCCTCCCATGGAAAAGTAAGTGCGTCATTCGCCAATCTAAACTTGCTCTTCAATAGCTAGTTTGTCTCAGTTCAAAACCACACAGTCTGTCATACATACGACGGGCTATAGACCGCTATTCCGTTCAATTGGGACTTGCCGGTGGTGAGCCCCCTCCCACACTACCAGTAATTGGACCCATAATTTCTGTTCGCCAGATGTTTATGCCTATAGAACATGGGATACTGTGGGATACTGTATGGCTTGGAGACAAGTTTGAGGAATTATATCTAAATCACACCAAATTCTAATACTCGAATGTTATATCGATGTTCCAAATTAAAACGTAGTAGTCCAGAAACCTGTAATGTGTTTTGATTATGTTAAGTGTACAACGCTGAAGAATGTTGAGTTGCAAGACTCTAACTATTAGGATCATCACGGTCCACCCGAATAACCGATCAAACCAGGCTGCTGCGCTTATAGGTGCAGAGGCGAGCGTGTCGAAACCTTGCAGTATATTCAAGTGTCAGCACAAAAGTGACAAACTTATCTCATCCAAGTGGCACAGTACGCAAATACTGCTGCAATGGTATCGATTGTTTGAGCATCCACATTGGAATGGATGTTGTACATATCCGATTAACAAATTAAGTAGAGCTTGAAAGTGGACTAATTAGGATGCAGTTGTCAGGTTCTTGCTACGATCAGAATCAAGTTGTTTCCATCGAAAATTCAGACTGGGAAAATATGGTATTCTTTAATCACTTATACCGTTTTTTCTGTTGGTCTGGATGTTGCTCTACGGCACTCAGACGACCGGGGATTTTATAGGATTGAGGCATGATGACAATAAGATGTGTACAAAGTTGAGTCACTAAAGGTTCCATATCATCAATAGACGGCGTCATCCTCCTTGTCTGGAGAAAACCCCGTCATGAACCTTAGATGATAGATACCAACCACACAGCACGACGGCATTGTAGCAGGGCCTAGAGACCGTAGACAGGGTGCGAGCCAGTTCAAATGCAATGACTTCTCCTAAGATGTTTATCGGCATTCTCTAACCCCCAGCGGCACTCGTGCAAATGAATCATCACGAAATTATCAGTAGGTCGGGATCTATTTTGGCGCACATTGGTGGTGGTAGAGAACGAAATGAAGTTTCTGAGACATGCGAAGTTGTAATTTTGAAGAACAATAAAACAACCTGCCTGAAAATTTGCTTACAAAGCAGTATTTGTGTAATTATTCGACAGAGTAGCTAAAGTCAAGTTCGCGGAAGACTGCGCCATTGCTTGAAATTTGTTTGTGGTTTTAGACAGCGAAGAAAGCGAGCTGATCTCCAAAGGGAATAAAGAAGGGTATGAGGTCAAGTTTAGGCTCCATAATTAGTTATATCGAGGGTACATCCTTCTATACTGTGGCTTTACAGTGTAGTACATATGATCAGGCTTTAATTTGAGATTTTTATTTATATGACATAAAATCGCACTTGTTTTGAAAGAATAAACCATGCTGCAAACATTTTAGTTTTCTCGCTGAAAATAATTTCGTTAGTATCAACCATGTATCAAAGTAGTTTGTTTTGGCTTTTCCCTAAATCGATAGAATTATTTTCGATATAATTCTAGAATTTCATGGAAGTTTCTCAAAGATTCTTTAACATGATCATATAAGGAGACAATCTGGAGCGTAAATCTAACATTGGCCAGTTATCCTACATTCCGGTAATGGCTGTGGTATTGGCAACTGACAAACATGCGATTTCGCGAATGCAGATTTTAGGAGTGCCTACAGGGGCGCGAGGCAGTCGAAACTTGCCGAAACCTGCGTGACGTAGTTGGCATGGACATTTGAAGTTACGGTAAGGAACTACAACTTGACGAAGAGTGGTAAAGGATGCATACCAGGGGACATTGTTAGCAACATAAAGAATGGTCTAAGACTGGTTCCGAGACAAAGTGGGCATTGGCTTTCGTCACACATTGACAGTTAGAAAACCGCCGTTCATTGCTCTCTGCGTCAATCCGGAATAGACCCAAAGCTTGGACAAATTATCCAATTATTATTATTATTATCCAATTATTATTGACTGACGAGCAGCTTTTGAGCTGTTGTGTCACCTCACTATCATTGCTTATCCAAGGGCTTAATCTTCGATGGAAACCATAAGTGGCTGCTTAATGACAATCATAGCAGGAAGCGCCAGTGGTTCCCAGCAGATGAAATGCTAGCATATTTTCAAACGGTGAATTGCACAGACACTGTCGGTCTGGTGTCATCGCCAGGGCGTTATCTATTGGGAAATGTTACCGGACAATTTCCCGGTGACTGCGGATGTATACTGCCAACAACTACAAAAGATTGTTGGTGAACACTGGGACAAGCCAAAAGTCCGATGAACGGTCATTTTCCTTCGCATTAGTCAAACGTCGCAAATTGGGTCTCTTTTAGTACCGGACTGGTTCTACGATAGCTGATTAAGTTTGTACGTTAATCCCATGATTTTATCAAAAGTGCCACAGCAGCAATCACTGGTAGAATACAGTATACTGATGAAGGACTGCTTTTCCTCCCTTTCTAGGTTAAATGTGAGCTGAGCGCCACCAACGAAGATCAGAACACGGATCCAGAGCTGATGGCTGGTTCGCGGTTTTTACGACTTCACGGAGTTTCGGATACCGTCTTTTTCGTGTTCCTAAAACATTTGATGGACTATGAAGAAACTCCAAGAGCAAGTCTGCTCCTTGTTTGCGTGGATTTAGCCGATGTCGGGGAAAGCGAATCAGGACCCCACCATGCTCCCAATAATCAGCTTATTCGTATCACCGTTGCGGTCAAGGACAAGAATGATAATGCCCCGCGGTTTGTCGAAGAGAAGTACTTTGTAAAAATGGCAGAACATGCCCCACAAGGTGCCTTGGTTACAATCGTCCAGGCAACTGATGCTGATAGCGACGAATTCGGTAGTCTAGTGTATAGCCTTGGCTCGGTGTCGATGGGCCAAGCGACAATCATGCCACTGCCTCCTACTCAACATATGTTTCGAGTTGATCCTACAACGGGAAGAATAGACGTGCTACATTCTGCCTCACTCGACAGGGAGCTAGCAGAATTGATTTACGTTAAGGTAGTGGCCAGCGACAAGGGAGGATTGTCCACTACGGCTGAGTTAGTCATTGCGTTAAGCGATATTAATGACATGGCCCCAACTCTGTCTGGTCCCAAGGAATTCCGTCTCAGGGAAAATCAACGTGTAGACACAATAATTGGACATGTACGCTTTGTTGATAGGGATGTGGGCCGAAACGCACGAATTCGTTTGGCGCCACGGTTAAGGTACGATAATATATTTGACAAGTACGTCCGCCTGGTAGCGGATCCCAAATTTCAGTATGTTACACCAACCAATAGATCCACAAATCAGCATGATCTCACCGGAGATGGTGAAGTACGCGCTATATTGGTCAGTCAGATGCCTGTGGATCGTGAAACATATGCTGCACTATTTCTCGAGGTGGTCGCATCTGATGAAGGAGATCCAGCGAACACCGCCGTAGTCACAATAACCATACATGTGGACGATGAGAACGACAATGCCCCAGTTCCCATATTTCCGTTACCTGACACCACGATCGGTTACCACCCGCCTGTACACAGTAACACACCGTTTGGCACAGTGGTAACGAGACTTCGGGCAGTCGATGCAGACCAGGCGGAAAATGGAACTGTTCTATTTCGTATCAATCCCGGAACCAATGGAAGTAAACTGTTTAATCTCAACACCACATCAGGTGAGCTAACCACTGCCTGGGTACTTGATCAGATGTTGCAAAGGAAACAGCGTATAAGCAGAATGGAAGAAGCTGCTGGTAGCCCATTGAACAAACCTGTGCCTGGGGTGTACCTATTGGAGGTAATGTTAACAGACAAAGGTGTTCCAGCCAACACATTCCTTAACCGATTTTACGTTAATATTGATCCTCCAGACTTAGCTGATGGGGAACGTATAGCAGACAATCGGTTCGTTGGCGTCCAGCACAACCCACTTCCTCGAGTAAACATTTCAACTAACTATGTGCTGTGGGCTATTGTATTGTTATTGAGTCTATTCGTCGTCTGCACAGGTATGGCCATTATATTCTGGATCCGGGTATGCAAGCGAGCAAAGAGGATGCGGCCTATTAAACATAGCTTCCCTATTCCCATTGAGGGCAACCAAATAACAGGACCTCAGGATCTTTGTGGAATACGTACTACGTTGCCTTACAGCTTTGATACGAAGGATACAATTCTAGGACCAACAGCTACAGAATTCTACTCTTTTCCACAGAGTTTCGAACATGCTTACGGTACTGCAGCCAACGCGCAATCCTTCAACTCATCACTAGACGGTTCTTTAAAGAGGCAGTCTCGTAATGCTCTTAGTTTGTTTACCTCTGGGGTTCCTACATTTGAGGCTGATCCTATTGAGACTCACCTGGTTCATGAGGAGTGCACATCAAACACGATTTTCAACAACAAATACCGTTCAGCCTACTCAACAAGCAATATAGCGGTGACTACATCATGCGACATATTCGTCAATAATTCAGAAATCTCAACGGATACAGCTAAATACCGTGATTTCATAGCGATTAATACATTCCCTAATGGATACACTGCCTCTCCGATGAGTTTTGGTGATTCAGTCCAGTTATCCACGATGCTGAATACACCGTCAAAGCACAACGGGCAGTACATTTTAAACTCAGGTGCGGAAACAACTGGTTTACCACGAACAACTAATTTTCTCCGCTCTCCCGTGCACCCCATACGTTGTACGGCCAACTTCAACTGTTCATCCAGAGATCATTTCTGTTCAAGATCCAACCTCAGTTCCATGCCTATGTACGACAATCACTGCATATGATCAGAGAGTGGAGTTCCGCAACTCAAACATGGGTGAGTTTGGTGTGTAATTAAAATCTATGCAGAATCGCCATTCTTTCAGTTAACCAAAACACCATACAAAGTCCGAATGATTTCTGGACTGTAATTTAATTTCCGTTTTCGGCTGGGGAGCTACACCAGCACGTAGTGCGACTAAGAGGCGCAGTGAGAAGGTTGACATACTTACTTTGACATGGACTGTTGCCAATAGGTAGGATTATTTAGCAATATGGCTCGCTGAATCAAAATATAATATACTGCTTAAGCCGGATCAAGTTGCTGAACTCTGTCCGGTTGTAAAAATGATTGTCGACGTTTTTAGAGGGCGATAAATCTGGTTAGGTTGTTTGTTTAGGATTGCATCTCCTAGAGCTTTTTGTGCTTGATAGAGATATTTTGTCGAGCGCTACAGCTACAACTGTATGATTTAAATATTCGTTCTTTATTATGGCTGGGCCAGGTACCAGCTAGCTAATGTAAAAATCGGTTCTTTTGGTGGAATACTTTTACTGCCAATGTCAACTTGGTTGCACCTTTTAACCGGTGGGTTGATGCCTCTCCAGATTAGTCATACCGACAGTCATAAGACCGAAATTTGGCATGTTCTGGAGGGTCTACTATGTAGATCTTTCATGACACACAATCTCAAGTGGAACGAGGTTCAGATTGACGTGGGTGCGGGTTCGTTCGATCAGTGGAAGCTTCGACGCTCCATTGTGTAAGGGTAGAGAAGCTAACCCGAAATATCTACGTTCTAGACTCGATTCTAATTTTGGTTGTCTTGCTGTGGAGCATATAGAGTCACCAAACTTGTCATGGAATGCAAGCCTGGGGCTGGAAAGGCCTAGCATTTATGAATCACCGGAATATCTTTCGCGGTGACCATGTATGATTAGCTGCTCGCTAAATAACTAGAAGTGATTGTGTGCTACTATCGACTTCTGCGCGGTGGCCCCAGTAGAACCCTTATTCCAACTCGCTTTGGCAATGAATGGTGTATCTCACATGAGCGGATCGTGATTGCCGAGATACTCTTAGCATATATTTAAAGTGCTGGCTACGTAGGTGAACCCAGACAAGCCATCTATATTCCCATTTACAAGAGTCACGACTTTTAGTTGCAAACCATAATTTATAACTGGGTGAGTCACAGTAATTTTTGGCTTCTGTGTCTCCTAACCCAAAGGACTGATGCAATCGACAACCCCCGGCTCTGTGTAATAAATGTTAAATAACAGAGAGTGGTATGGGGGTTCGAATGACATTGTAATTTGGTGAGTGCTCGGTTTTTAATTACTGAATTTGAAGGAACCCGTGCCGGAGTGAGGTCAAAACAATTTGTGGATCGCTGTCGCGGCAGGTGGAGGCGTTAAATTGATCAACTAGCCATACATGCTCTGATCCGTTGGGGTTTTACTGGCTCTTAATTCAACTGTACCACATTGCACTTGAAAAAGAAAGTAGACTATTTAGTTTAACGATGAAGTTTAACTATGCGACTGGGAAACTGGAACTCACGATAAAATGGGATTAACTCGCAGCCAAAGAACGGCTTTAAAGTTGGAACGAGCACTTGGTGAACAGAGATTGAAGTGAATGGAGCTAGAAAGGATGATGCACCAGGGAAAGAAATTAAATGACTGGACACATTTCGGTATAGGGAATAGCAAGTGCTGAAACAAAGTAACAAGAAACTTTAATTGAGGTGGGTGCTGCGATGGAACAAGCTGCCCAAATTTTTGCCACGGTTATCATGGTTGGCGGCATCCGGTTTCGGATTTCCCTGTCACTGTGGTCAGCCACAGGAAGCCTGCGCCTACAAAGGGACTATAGATGGCTTGCGCTGCACCACCCACAGCTCCAACCACACACCCCATATCCAGTGTATACCCGAAGGAATAAGACCGGGAAGCATGTGCGTGGGAGCCACGTTTCATCAACGGAGCTGGCCCACACTCCTTCACAGGCAAACACAAGCACGCTGATTTGGGGAATGAAGCGCCCACACAAGGCGGTGGCTGGACCGTAGTCCAGAATCCACCATGGCGGATAGACAACGGCAAATATGTTCGGTAACTTTTTGAACAATGTAAAATGAACCACGTTTTATCACAGGATAAAGCAAGTGCTTGACCAGTCCCGTATAATGGTTGGGGTGGATATGATGAGATCAAAATATATGTGAATAATCTACTGAGCGTCTACCAAGATGGATGCGTTGATAAGTAACGTCAGTGTAAAATAACTATCAAATGTAAGCATGCGAAAATACATGGGTTGTAGTGGTCGCTGACGTAAAGCGTGAGGAAAGGAAGTATGGTCGTTTACTTATGTCCGCCTACTTGAATTTGCAAGAAACGAATCTTGTAGAAGGTCATGAATAGCATAATCCAAAATTTCGTAATTTAGATAACAAAGTTTTGGGAGCTAAGAGCAACATCCAATCGATTTTCGAGAATATCCAACGTAGGGGTGCATACAACTGAGTCTGGAAGTGCGTTCCATGTTTGGCAAATCAGAAGGGAAAACCAATTCCGTCGACACTGTAGACGGCTATATTCTTCCCAAAATTTCAAGCCGTTACGCTTGAGCTGTCTCGCGGTTACGTTTCAGCAAATGGCGGCATACATATTTGGCTTAACTTAATATTTCGTACGCTAATATGAGATGGCCGAGCGGCGTTCCGTAGCGTAGGCTAAAATCTCCTAGCATCTTCAGCCGTCATTGATAACAGTGACAGCGCAGGACCTTTACATTCCTACTTCCTCTTCGTTGTGATGACTCGAATGCATCTAGGTCGTGCTTTATCCAAGTTTGCCAAGCTTGGATAGCGTATGCAACGTGTGGACACACGTAGGCATTGTATATCATTGGGAATGTTGATGGGCCAACTCTCCCCAATACCCTTCGCTGCATGCAGACGTGGTAGTTGCCTCTGTGCGCAGCTACCACAATCAGTTTAGGACAGTTGAGGTCAGTCTGTACGAGCACATGAAGAGCAGATTCCAGGGAGCTGGTCTGCAATCCGTGTGCCACAGACAAATACGAGTACTCATCTTGGTGGAGTAAATGCATACCGCGACATTTGTCTATGTTGGATGGTAGGATGTTTTGAACTGACCAGTTCGACCATGTGTTAAGGTAGCAGTGGAGCCGTACCCAGTCGTCTGGTCCTCTGATCATTCGCCATATTTTAATATCATCCGCAAAAACAGGAAAGCAGAAGCAACTGACTTGGCCAAATTGTTAATAAACACCAAGCATAGAATAGGTCCAAGCACCAAGCCTTGGGGTACACCACATTCTACATCAAGAGATTCCCGGGCTCTGACCTCCAACGGACGTTCGCGTAGAAAATTGCTTATCCAACACAGGGTTGGGTCGCAAGTGCCGTAGTTCCGAAGGTTGTGAATATGAATTCGATGGTCTAAGCGATCAAACGCTTTTGAAAAGGAAGAGAGATGACATTGACTCCTGCTTCATCATCAACGGCGTCAGTCCAGCTATTATGTGCAGTTAAAATGTTAGTAGTAAATTAACGCTTTTGACGAACGCCACGTTGCTTTGGGGCTGTTAAGTTGTGATCATCCAGGTATGCATTAGCGATTCTGCGATGATTGATTCCATAAATTTGGATAGTACATGATGTGGTGTTATTGGACGGTATTTGGTTTGGTTAGTGCGGCTGCCTCCAATTATGTAAACGGCTGATGATCACTCGCATCCATACTGGTGGAACATGGTTTTCCTCTAGACATCGTTGAGAGAAAACGGCTAGTGGTTCAGCTAGATCATTAGCTACCGCCTGCAGAGCATTTGGTCGGAGGTTGTCGACTCCAGGGGCACTGTAGAAACGCAGGAACGGCAACCACTTCAACACAACATCCTCAGTGAATTTGATGTTGTATAAACTCGACGAAGAAGTAATGGAAATGAGGCGAATATGTGGGCTGATTATCTGTCTGAAAATTTGGGTGTACTGAAGCCGTAGGAGATCTGCAGTTTCCATTGCTGACCGCGTGAATTCTTCAGTCGTGACCAGTACTGGAATCCCCTCTTCAGGCCATCAACGTGCCTGTGCAAAAGTTTGCGGTTCATTGACTCCTGTTGATGCGTAACCTTGTCCTCGCGGACCAACTTCACACCGAACTTACATTGTGACACGTATGCAGTCCGGGTTTCGGCATTCGGGCAGTCATTGTAAGCTCGCCATGCCAAATCCCTCTGGGACATACATTTACGAGTTCTGCTCCTAATAAATGATTTATAGTCGCCTTTACGTTGGAAGGACTTCTGTCTACATGCTTGCGCTACTAGTGTGCTAAAGTTTTTGTAAAAGTTTCCCAGGCAACTTCTGGGGGGCATTCGGTTAAGAACATCCAAGATGTATTGTTAATAGGCGCAGATAACACGGTGTAGTGCGTGACTGTATGCACCTTTTAATCCTCTTCCTCAGAATATTCCGCATAGCATATATAGTTAAAGAATAGAATAACATGGTCATTGCGGCCCAGTGGCGTGTTTGTAATTATCCCGTCAACCAAGAGTTGTTCATTAGTGAGCACAAGATCCACTATCGACGACTTGTTAGCAGTTAGAAATCTGGTGTAGAGGTTACGTGATTGTACAGAGGGTGGCTAGCAATTAGCTCTTGCAAGCAGGCTTTAAACTGCGCATCCGCGGTTGCTAGCCTTTCCATGCGTTGGGCATTAAAGTCTCCAGCGATAAGAATGTGAGTGTAGGACTTGTTCAAAGAAAACTGAAAGATGCTGTTCAGTTTGACGTCCATTTCCGACGTAGAGTTTGCTTGGCGGTAAATTGGGGCTAATAGACATGTGTTCTTGTTCCGCAACTGTACTCGGCACACAATCGAACCAGGAGCGCGGTTTTCGGGGGAAGGATAACTTCACATCGGAAATTTGTATTATAATAGATAATCGCACCACTACCCCTTACAGCTGTATCGTTCCAAAGCAGCGACTTAGCGAGAAAATTGCTCTCAGAATTGGTTA